GCGCGTTTGCACACACGGCATATAGAGTAATAATTGTACCACTTATTTGAGGATTTATTGAGGACATGTCTGGAGCAGACGTTTCTCCGGCAGATATATACGTCCCGCCCAAAGAGGAATTTGTGTGCTTTGTAAATCTATCACGGTAAACAACGAAATTACGAGATCGAGATAGTACACGAGTAGTCTTAAGTATTAAGATGTATATTCTTAGATTTTAATTTTGCGAGGGAGACTTACACATTATATAGGTATATATATACATTACATATTATATATATATATATATATAATATGTGTATGACTAAATAAGATTAGTTCGTCAGCCTTTTAGTCGAGCAAAAATGAACGAACGAACGCGCAAATCCAGAGAATCAATCGAAAAGCTATACTTTTCCGGAAAAAACGGAAATTAGAGGAGACCGGAACAAGTTTTACAATTTTTGATTAGCAATTTTTTCCGTACTAATGTATACATTTAAATTAATGAATACTTATGCACTGGTTCAAGTACATCTTTAACTAGATAGTGAATTTTTTCTAATTTGTATTTATGTCTGTAAATACTGAAAATTAAGATTTACTATCAGTAGATAAATCATAATAACTTACCCCACTGTGGGGTAAGTTGTTACTGATTGTGAGCTGGGGCAAGTTGTTACATTTACAATATCGCTTGAAATATATATATAATATATACATATATATAAGCAAATTCAAGACTATAATAAAATCAAACACGAAATATTTCATAGGGAATATTTATTTTATAATATAAAATTAAAAAAATATACTATTACAAAAATTTTTTCTTTAATTAGTTATTAAAGTTAACGTTGAAAAGTCATAAAATTAATGTTACATGCATTTGCTGCTTTTCTCACAGACAGGTGGCCATCTTTAACTTCCTTTGTCGCATACGTTTCTACATTTATAGACCCTCTGTTTGTCTTTTTTTTGTAAGTCGCACCATTCCACAGATTTTTATAACTAGACTGCTGATTCAATATGATAAAAAGAGATGAACTTGATTCCGAGCTGTCCTTGTTTCAGTTTACATATGCATATGTATGCGTCCTGTCTATGAATATCGCATAAATTTATGAAAACACTAACGTCACTATCCGCGTGATTTATACATGTGAGAGTGGAGCACAAATATATCGCTGCCCAGTGTTGTCTTCAAACATGGAGACGAAGTAGGCAGTACTATTTATAGAAGTCTGTGCATCATTCTGTAGATGAAAAAAAAATAGTTTTGAATAGGGTAAATTGTTACACTGTAACAACCGACCCCGATCAAAGTGTAACAACTTGCCCCAACCTTCCATTTTCAATTCAAAAAAATACAAATCGAAAACTACATATATCGATAGTACATATATCGATTATATATTAAATAAAATGTGTTATAATCAAATGTATATGAAAGAAATATACAAAAGGATAATCACATACCTCTAACTTATATATACAATAACATAAGCGATTTATACAATGAGATATTTACTTTTAAAATCCAGAAAACATACGTAGCGTCTTCTAAAGTTCAAATATGGCGGCTAAACCAAGTGAAGTTGAAGAATATTATAAGAATCATATAAAAATTCATAAAAATGTGCTGCCACCTGTAACAATTAAAAAAATTAACTGTAACAACTTATCCTGTGTAACCACTTGCCCCGGTCTCCTCTACTCACGATCACAGAGATTTGGAGAAAACATTTTAATTGATCCACATGGTTAACATTCATCTGTGCGCTCGCGCATGTACGTCAACATACAAATACGAGAAGTATATGAAGGATTTATATGAAGGAGAGAAAAGATGAGGGGGAGAAAAAGGGTGAGGAATCAAACTCGAATATCCTCGTCAAGATTATTACCAAAAGGAATACCGTAGTGCACATTATCAAAGGCACTTTTGCATGACGTTTAACTTGCAATTGGTTTAAGGGGCGAATTCTGAATATCCTGAGACTCGGGATATCAATTGTCTAATCTGAGAACGATCTTAGCTTTCCTCTTTTAGGCTTCCTCGACCCGAAAAAGCTCCTTCCAATGAGATTTCACGCGATTGAACCTTTTTCTAAAATTTAAAGACTTTTTAAGATTCTCGAGATACAGCTCATGCAGCTCTCAATTCATTCTAACTTGAGCTAATCGGTCCCGATTTAATCGTAACAAATTTCACCCTTTCTATTCGCGTACTCCCTCACAGTCTCTCTCTCTCTCTCTCTCTCTCTCTCTCTCTCTCTCTCTCTCTCTCTCTCTCTCCCCCCCCCTTCCTCTTGCATTCTTAAATTTGCAAAAAGCATAAAAAATTGTACAATCGAATACATAATGAGATCTGTTAAAGAGTAGTCAGAACGCTCCGCGATAACGATAAAAACAGCACGTACAATTACGTGGTACTTGTCCGTGGATATAATGGAGTAATATAGTATAATGTATATAGAACACATAAGCATACAACACCGCTACCGAAAGAACATTTTCAATAGGATTAATTCATCTGTGGTGTAAGATGTGTAAGACGATTAATTTCTCTTTTTAGGATCACAGAATAGTAGCGCCCGAGCATAGCGATATTTTACTTTGAAGAGAGAGATATACGGGAAGGAACGGTAAAATGCGCGTTCTCCGTAAATAACTAAGTTCGTCAATTTAAGTGAAATCACACTTATACACGTGCACACACGCATACATACACATATCTAACAATAATAGAGAACTACGCGTAACATCGTTCGCCCCCAGAAATCTCGCCGATTAAAGCTAGTACGTGTGTTACGTGTAAATAAATGCTTAATATATTATAAAAAAGAATATAGCATAGTATAAATTATCAAATAGCTTAACAATACTGCTTACGCCAACAGTCGCTGGACGAATAGTTGCAATTCTATTCGACGCACACGCTGGAATTCGCGCGAATTCTCCGTAACATACATGTATACGTATCAATTGTATTGTATTTTCGAAGTTCGAAGAGAACATTAGCGCTAGAATATATCAAAATCAAAATTTGAAATGTCATTGTGAATGTTGTCGAAACATTCAGCCATTCAGATTGTAGAGATCACCTCTGTCAAGCTAGCAGGACTAAATGAGCAGAATCGAAAAAGACCTTTTTAACTATTTAGTGTTTATTTTGTGCTAATTTGTGCTACAAAATGTAATTATATCGCGCATAATTATATCAGCACATTTTATATCGCTTCTATTGTGAAAATTGCGACTGATTCTGCTCGTGACGAAGGGTACTCTACTCTTGAACCTTGTAGGAGTCGGGGGTAGTTTCCAAAGAAACGGCGGGGGCACAAAATCTAAAATTTCATATTTTGACGGCATAAATTATATATAGCATTTCTATCAAGGATATTTTATTCTTGAACCTAATAGTATAACTTCATAATAAGTTAGCAAAATCACGAGTGTCTTCTAAATGGCATGTGGTACGAAATTGTTCTTTGTAGCACAAATTAGCACTAAATAATTAAAAAGGTATTTTTCGATTCTGCTCATTTGGTCCTGCTAGCTTGACAGAAGTATAGAGATCTTATGTCTTCGGTTCTCTCGAGTCGCACACCGTGGCGCATAAATAACTTTTTTATGTCTGATGCTGTACGAACGATGATGTTCAATATAACAATGTAAATACTAATTTTCATAATCTTTTAATGAGATCAACCTGCTCAATTAATGATAAAAAAGAAAAGAAATAACAATCGCATTTTTACACAAATTCAAGTATATAAAGTGACTTCAAAATATGTGTGTGATATTAGTTTTCCGTGTAAAATTAATACTACATTACACACCCACATACAAAAATGAATGTACTACACTTAAATGTGTAGTACGCTGAGAAAAAAGGTTGTTAACTTGACTAAATGCGTTTTGTTCGTAATGGTTATTTAGTTCAAATATTTACATTCGGAGTAACAAAATCTTGTAATTTAAAACACGTTATTTATTTGAATTAACAAATATTTTTGATTGAATTAACAAATATTTGCTTGACAGCTCATGACTGCCATATTTAGTTAAATCAATTAATATTTTTTTGAAACAGCAACTTTTTTTCTCAGTGTATAAAGTGATTTTTACAAAACAAATTAAATCATAACACATATATTAAAGTTACATTTTACATACTTAGATTTGCGGTGTATGGAGAGCAAATATAATTTAGAAATCGATGTTTAGAAATAACTACTGCGGGGACAAGAAGATCGAACTTACGCAGGATAAGTGAAAAATGCATAAAGAATTATCGTAATATATACGCCGTTACTCATACGCTTAATAATAAATGTTTTCTTTTAAGTAGAAACGATTATTTCCAATGAGTTATTTATCGAGTACTTCCCAGTATACATATATTTGTATAGAATACATTTTAATAGCAAAGTCTTTTCGCAAAGTTGCGCTTCTTTCTAATGATGTAATCTCCACGAGTAATGTTCTTGGTCCTTGAATTCGATTCTTCGATTTCCTACCTTCGTCCGTCCGTCGAGTGTGTTATACGTGTATACGTTTGTGTTTGTGATTATGTGTGTACGATTATCGAAAGTTTCGCTTCTCAAATTCTCTTCGGAAGTTTTTCTCTCGAAAGAAATGTTCGGATATCATGACGTACGTCTCGATTCGATATAAATATGAGGACTGTCGCGTTACGTCACGTAAAAGTCGCTACTTAATCCACGCGGAGATTCTTCCGTCTTCTCGGGTCTGTCTGTTTTGATTATCTTGCAGCGTCGCGTTTCGTTTCGCTTACTGTCTTTTTTCCCCAGTGTTGCGTTTCCTCACAGTGTCATTACTCATTATATTTGCCGACGTCAATGCGGAAGAACGATGTACGCTGACTGCGGGAATTTCACTCCCAAGAATATTGTGCAGTCGGAAGACACCGATAAGAATGGATAGAAAGTAAACTTTTCCGCGCGTATACGCGTTATATGCTTGTCGTGTGTGTCGTACCTCTCTTCCTCTTTCGATCCTATCGTCTAGATCTTAGAGACATAAAGCGGCGGATGAACCTGCTGCGGATTTCCATTCTGCTTCGAGTACCGCGCATTCTGCAGCAGCTCTCGGGTCTCGCTAGGTGAGCTCGGGCTGAGACTGTTGGTGGTCGAGGTCTCGACACGGTCGCTGATGATTTCTTCCTCGGTAATCTGCTCCAGGTATAGTGTCGCCGCCATCGACCTTGCCATTATCCTTGATCTCGAGGCATGTGTCCGATGACACCTGCCTCATCTGTTTCGCCCGTCTGGCGTGGCGAGTGGTCAGTCCACCGGTTTCCACATCCCGCTCCAATCGATGTCCTGATCGGGATCTGGTGAGTTGCCGTTGTACGTATTCCTCGAGATCGTCCTCCTCCTTCTTCGCGATCACACGATTCAGAACAATCAAGAAAATACCGACTAGGATCGCGAACAAGCCGACCGCGACCAGCTCGTTCCACCAGCCGCCAGATGCTTTGGTGCCCCAGTGAGCGAGGTCGCCTGGCAACAAGCCGCTCATCAGCAGGAAAGCGCCCAGTACCAGGAATACCACGCCGATGTGCAGCATTCCGATCGAAGTGACCACCTTCGTGTCCAGCATACCTTGGCCGGCCGCACGCGCCCCGCCATGCGTGCCCTTGTGATGCCTGCCATGGTGGTCCAGCGATCCGGTCGAGGCCCTAGGCGATGTCAGGCCGCTTTCGCCCGATTGCGCGCTATAACGACGCTCGCGCGCGCGACGCTGCTCGTCCCGGCGCATTCGCTGACGCTTGATGGCCAGCGCCGAGTGCAATCCAACCGCGTGCATCCTGCAACACCGGAAAGACAACCCTTTGGCTCAGTCAATCCTGCTAGTCAATTTTCTTCGACGAATTTCTACTCCCGCGAGCCGTTTCCACATCGTCATCGCGAGATCGTTTCTTTTTATTTTCTGACAATTTGTTTGTTATCACCGAAAAGCACACAAGTACCACCCCGGCCAGCGATGATATATTTGATCTCGCGATGTCGCGATCAATCGAAAAGTTGGAAGAAAAGAAATGCCAGATCAGTCCGACTGTAAAATTACATTATTTTGAAGCAGGCCAAGTGTTGTAAAGCAATCTACATGCCTGCTCGCAAACGAGCAATGTGGCTGAGCGATTGAATGAGTACAATCGCGTATACATTATGACAATTAATCGATCGACATCACTACTGGCAGCAAACGGCTGAAGGAAAACTCGTGCTGATGATTTTAAGATATCGTCTCTACTGCCTATATTATGCAATCTCATTTAGTTTTCGATTAGTCCTCATTTTATTCTAGCAAATTCGTCTGCGTCTCAACACTAATTAGCTACTTCTAAATTCATCTAAAGGCCTACAGGATCTATTTACAGGGTTTTACAGGATGCACTGCGATGGAATTACGTGTGTCAAAGCGATCGACGACGGCGCGCGTGCATTCTCAGTCCCCTGCAAAAGGATCTCCTCTCGTCAGCACGCGTGTCTTGTTTATTTAAGGGCCACCGACTGACACTCTCTCGCTATTTTGCATATTGCTCCCATTTAATCAGAAAAAGTGCAAATCCACTTGTAAATATATCGCAAGTTCATCAATATAAATATTTAATAATACGCAGCTTGAATAGTAAATAGCTCGTTTCTGTCATAACAAAACACTCATACCTAACTCCGCCCCCCCCCCCCCTCCCCCCCCTCGCAATATGCGAGTTGGTGAGCATATAATTTTCATATGACAGGTAGACATTAAAAATAGACAGCAGTGCTGATCTGTGCTAATGTATCTGTCGGCGATCATAACTGACTGTTATCAGTCGATAATTATTGGTAGTTATCAATATGGACAATGAATATGCCGAGGTATCGATGCTCGAGGTATTTCCATTCTTGAAATCTATGAAATTTTATTCGTAATTTTCATATACATTCTGATTATAAGTTTTCCAATTTCCTAAAAACCGTAAGAATATTATAGACTTGGCTTCTTTGTCGATAAAATGTCATTAATTAAATATCATATTAATAATAATTCATTTTGTATAGTTTTACAATAAACTTCTATAGGTATTTCTACTCTGTGTAAGCTTAGATAGAAATTTATGAAATACCCCTCATAATTCTCGTATACGTTCAGATGGGATTTTTAAATCGTTAAAAAACGATCAAATTTTATATAGAGTTTCTTTTATACATTATCAATAGAAACTTAACTAAATTGTAGATCGAGAACGATCCATTTTATACGATAAATTTTTGATAAATTCCTATAGATATGTTCATTTTGGAAAATCAGATAGAAATCTGTGAAATTTCATTCGTATATTTCATATACGTTAAGATAAGTTTTCCAATGCATAGACTTATATAAATAGACTGCTGGCTCAATGTGATAGAAAGGGGTAAACTTGATTCCGGGCTGTCCTTTTAGTTTCCATATGTGTATGTATGCGTCCTATCTGTGAGTATCGTGTGAATTTGTTCGTGTAATTTATACATGTGTAAGTGAGAGAACTCAGATGTGACGCTGCACAGCGCTGTCTTTAGACACGGAGGCGAAGTTGATAGTCTATTTGTAGAAGTCTGTGCATATATGTATACATATATGGTAGAGTGTCCGACGAGACTTCTGCCAAACGCTTTTTATACACAGAGCGGACTAAACTGAGTCGAAAAGTCCTCTTATCATTTTGCAATTTTCGCAACGGTTAACGAGATATTAGTTACTAAAAATTGCCGAATATTGGTCTTCAATAATTCTTTACTCAAATACTATTAACTTTACAGAGAAACTGAGGTTGAAGAGTTTTATGCGCAGATTACTACACTGTTGCGAAAACAAGATCTGACAATAATCATGAGAGACTTCAATGCGAAGGTGGGCAAGAAGCGCACGGGAGAACACATAGGACATATAGGGGTCTAGGAGAAAAGAATAGGCGGAAGGAGTGTGTTTTCGGAAGAACATAAACTCGTCATAACGAATACCTTCTTCCAGCTGCCCCCAAGGAAATTGTACACTTGGAAGTTACCGATGGATACGGAGAGGAAAACATACTCAGAAACCAGATCGATTATATCTTGGTCAACAAGTGATATGGAAATGCATTCTCCTCTGTTAAAACATATCCAGGGGCGAATTTGCGGTCGGATCACAATCCGCTATCGGAGTTTTCAGAGTGCGTATGAAGAAGGTCCGTAAGAGACAGGAACCGAGGTATGATCTTCGGAAGCTCAAGAATGAAGTTGTATGAAAGCAGGTTCAAACCAAATTGAATGAGCATCATAGACCTAACGGTGATCCAACTAGGATGGAGGACGAGTTGAACTAGCCGTGTGAGTCTGTAACCGCCATCAAGACGGAACTGCTCAGACCGGAGAAGCAGATGAAGAAGTCATAGATGACGAATGAAATCCTTCAGTCGATGGAACAAAGGCACAGAAGTAAGAACAACTCGGCAATGTATAATGATTTCAGCAAAACAGTGAAAACTAAGATCAAAGAAGCAAAGCAGGAGTTGGAAGAGAAATGTTCCGACATAGAAAAGTTCCAATAGAGAATTGATAGCTTTAGCCTGCATAGGAAAATAAGAGAATTGACGAGGAAGGCGAAGTCAGGGTCGGCAACCAGACTAGTCAACAGAGATGGACGTGTCATCATTGATAAACAAGAAGTACTGGACAGGTGAAAAGGTTATGTGGAAGAATTATTTCATGACACACTCCCTTCAGCTCGACTCCGATACAGGCCCTTCGATCCTTAAAGAGGTGCAATCGCAGCGCTGAAGGAAGGCAAAGCATCAGGATCGGATGGGGTGCAGGCGGAGTTCATCAAGCTGCTGGATGAGAAACATGTGGAGTGATTAACGACAGTGTTCACATCTATCATACAGGATGTATCCCGCAGAAATAGCTCAAATCAGAGTTCATCGTTCTCCCCAAGAAACCTGGAGCTAAGAGATGCAGTGACTATAGAACAATTAGTTTGATGAGTCACTTGCTGAAATTATTCCTGAAAATCATCCACAGAAGAATCTATAGGCTGTGTGAAGAACAAATGGCCCCTACTCAATTTGGGTTAAAAAATGCACTTTGTACTCGGGAAGCTTTGTTCAGATCCTGTTCCAGAGGTGCAGAGACATGAGCTGTGATGTGTGTAGTTGCTTCGTTGACTATCAGAAGGCATTCGACAAAGTCCAACACCTAAAGATGGTAGAAGTGTTACAGAGTATAGGACTGGATGAGAAGTACGTGAGAGTGATCGTAAACCTGTACTGGAACCAAGAAGCCACTTTTGCGCACAAATATAAAATTAAAGTTAAGTAAGAAAATAATTTATATTTTTAGGAAATCTGTCATGTGAACAGTGGGGTGTCAGCGTAGACAGTGTCCGTTTGGAATATTTTTCCAAAAAATCCTAACCAAACCATTTGTTGGTGTAGCCCTCATTTCGCGTGGAAGGTTATGAGCTGTAGGCAATAGTGCATGTAAACAAAAGTAACTCCTTTTCTAAAATTTTTATTTGTGCGCAAAAGCGCATGTAGGCAATCGAGCTGTAGACAATCGAGCTGTAGACAATAGTACATGTAGGCAAAAGTAACTCTTTTTCTAAAATTTTTATTTGTGCGCAAAAGCGCATGTAGGCAATCGAGCTGTAGGCAATCGAGCTGTAGGCAATAGTACATGTAGGCAAAAATAGCTTCGTTTCTAAAATTTTTATTTGTGCGCAAAAGCACGTGTAGGCAATCGAGCTATAGGCAATAATACATGTAAGCAATCGAGCTGTAGGCAAAAGTGATGTAGGCAAAAGATACTGTAGACAATCGATTTGTAGGCAAACGGAATCCCCCCGACTAAACTGAGTCGAAAAGTCCTTCACCATTTTGAAATTTTAGCAATAGTTAATAAGATATCAATTATTACAAATTGCCGAATATTCAATAGAATTCTTAGAATTTTTTCAGAATTTTTTATCAACTTTTAGTACTGCATTTTCTTATTGGCAACTATTTTTACCAACATGAGAAAATAAGCTATTAAGAAATTCTGAAAAAATTCTCAGAACTTTATGAGAAGAAAATAAATAATTTTTGTCTGTTGCAGTTTTTCTGTAAAGTTGATAGTATTTGAGAAAAAAATTATTAAAGACCAATATTCGGCAATTTTTAGTAATTAATATTTTGTTAACTATTGCGAAAATTGCAAAATGGTAGAGAACTTTTCGACTTAGTTTAGTCCGCTCTATCTGTCCACGAATGTAGTCGGTTGAATTTCCGAACACCCTGTATACATATAATATATGTTCTGTTTGCGAAATTTTTATATTTTTGTGTTTCGGCAATAAATATTTGTTATGTAAAATTGGGTTTTTTGCTTAAGTAGTGGAAATCTAAAATCAATGTTCTCAAAGATACTTATCACAGTGGTCCATAAAGATATTCCAGAGTGATCTGAAGAAATAATACTTTATGTACTCGTATAAGATAATCTTAAATGAGCAAAGTAAATTTCGAAAAATTTCGGGTAATCTTAGAAGATATGACATAATTTTAAATACTCTAAGGTAATCTTGGTTAATATGAGGTAGTATTCGATAATCTGGAATAATTTGAGGTAGTATTAAGTAATCTTAAGTAATATGAGGTAATTTAAAGATAATCCGTATCAAGGGTAATTTTTGTACACTATAACCACTCGTGACCAACCCCTCGCTAAATCATTATTATAATAGTAAATGAAAGTATATGTAACGTAAAAGTAAGAGGACATAAAAGTAACAGGAATCAATAAGTTATTGTCGTTATT